TGATATAGTTTTTATTAATATAAGAATTAATCATAAAAGTTTTGTATATAATAGAGAAAAACACGTTTTATATATAGAATTGATGACGTAACAAAAAATACAAAGAATTAGTTTGAAACTATAAACATTTGAGGACTAACATTCTTTCACAGAATTGATTGTTGATAGAAGAACTTAGATGTGAGTGACTGTAAGACTCTAATTTGATATTGTAAGAGTCTTTCATGTGTGGGTTGAATGAGAGATTTCCATTTGTATCCAACCAAAAAGCAGAGTAACACGAGATGAGTGTTGTAGAATCGTTTGCATACAACGAGAAATTCGTCTTTTTTTGGTCTCGTTTGGTGATGAGAAAAGGACATTCCAATTCACGTTTCATGAAGAAGAGAAAAGTCTCTTCGGAAGTCACTTGGGTCGGTTCATTAGACTTCACCAATGGAATCATGTCCTTTTGATAAAAGCCAAAAACGTATTCTTTTGTTTGAAAAACAAAAAGAAGAGATCTTTTCCCACATATTTCACTTCGCAAATTACGTGTATCAAATCCATGAATTTTAGTGTCGTAAATTGAATTGAAATTTTCACACATCACTTTCGCCATTAAAAATGAGTAGAAGAAATTATGCTCTAATGCACCTATGTCCTGTCGAACCAACTTGTCATCAATTACACATTTGGTATTTTTAGTTATTTTTAATTTGGATATTCGAGTCTCGCAATTTCTACTCTTACGATGTGAAAAGAACGTCGAAGGCTTTTTTGTGTATTCACGACTCGACTGACTTCGTTTTTTGTCGGATTTAATGTAAAACATATCAATATCAAGTTCATCAAGAGTATCATCCTTTTTGCTTGATGTCGATTTTTTTTCAGGACTAGATATTTTTGAAAAGGGAGAAGATGGAGAGTATAACGAAAGCATTGTCAATTCTTTAACCGACCCAGTGTTTTCTCTTGGTATCATTCCAATCGTAGAGGAAGTTGCTCCCATAACGCTTTGAAAAGAAAGATGAAGTCTTTAAATAAGAGAACAGTACATTTTATAATTAAAACAAACAACATTTCCTCTTTGTTTTATTTTAATTTCAAAAATTTGGAACTTTGTGTAATAATTATAAATTTTGTGGGTAATAACGTTATAGGGGTTCTTTTTGTGGTCTCAGTTTTATTGTTTTGCAAATAATAGACTATTATTAATGAATGACATATACCATGATTCCGTTTTAACCTCTTAAAAAACTGTTGTTTTATTTTTATTTTAACACTCTTTTTTTACCCAATAAATACCATTCACTTGGGGTTTTGTGTTTTAATAAAATATTCACAGTTTTTCGTA